TCGCGTACCCCACAGCTGCATACCTTTTCCAGTCGCCAATACGGCAGGGATCGCCAGCAGCCGCCCCACCGAGGCTCATTTCGCCCCCACCGCGGAAGACCGCAAGGGCAGAGGACACCAGGGTCGAGGGGCAAGTCACCACCTCGCCCTCAGGCCCAGTAGTGGGCCACGCGGGGCAGCTCCGAGAATCGCCAACACCATCATCGGAGCTGCAGCTTCCCGTTCCTTGGCGATGGGAGGTACATCATCCACCTCCACCCGCTGGTCGCATTGCGGTGGCCTGGCAGAACTGGGAGCAACTGACGGCGGACCCATGGGTTCGCAGTACCGTCCGGCATGGCCTGCGCATCCCACTGCTGGCTCGCCCTCATCAGCGGCATGCTCCGAGACAGATGCACCTGGCTCAGGCGGAGCAGGTTGCTCTGCAGGAGGCCCTGTCCAACATGGCAGCAGCGGGGGGCATCGAGCCCACTACAGTGCGAGACGCGACATTCAAGAGCACGCACTTCATGGTACCCAAGAGCGGTGGTCGATGGAGGCTAGTGTTCAACCTCAAAGCGCTGAACGAGTTTGTGGACAACTCCCATTTCAAGATGGAAACGTTGGCAGTCGTACCCGAGCTAGTTCAGCCGAACTGGTGGTTGGCGAAACTCGATCTGAAGGACGCCTTTTACTCGGTACCGGTGCACATTCACAGCCGACGCCTCCTCCAGTTCATGTGGAACGACCAGGTATGGCAGTACACTTGCCTCCCGTTCGGTCTGTCGGAGTCACCCCGCACGTTCACCAAGGTACTTCGTCCTGTAGCAGCGTGGCTCCGTGCAATGGGTCTGCTCATCGTTGTCTATCTGGACGACTGGCTGTTGATAGCACACTCCCCTGCTCTAGTGGCGCAGCAGATCCAGTTTGTGGCAGGCCTCCTAGAACGACTGGGCTTTATAGTCAACCGCCAGAAATCTATCATGGAGCCGACGCAGATCCTGACGTTTCTCGGAGTCGAAGTGAACTTGGTGCGCATGGAATTTTCCTTGCCTCGCGACAAGCTGGACAAGATTCGCTCCGAGTGCCGTCGCCTACGCAACAAGGGATTTGCTACCCTCGCCGAACTGCGTTCAATGACAGGCAAGATGGTTGCAGCGCGCCCTGCAGTACACCTCGCTATGCTTCATGTCCGGGGACTGCAGTTCCCGCTGAACGAGGCTCTGGCACACCGTCTCGAGACCCAACAGTTGGACGAATGGGCCTGCAGCGACCTGCGTTGGTGGATAACGACGGCGGGGTGCCCGATACCCATGCACAGAGACCCACCCTCGGTCACCATGAGCTCAGATGCGTCCAATGTAGGATGGGGTGCTGCTGTGGATACGGCGCATGCCGGGGGCCATGGTACGAGTCCGAAGCTGCGCACCACATCAACTGGAAAGAGCTGATCGCGGTATGGTTAGGTTTGAAAAGCCTGCTCCGCAACGCGTCCAACCAAACCATCCGGTTGGAAATCGACAACACGACCACCGTGGCATACCTCAATCATCAGGGAGGCACTCATTCTCGGCGTCTGTGTACGCTTGCGATTCAGGTGCTGGAGTGGGCTGCAGCCCGACACCTGGAGCTGGAAGCGGTTCATATGCTAGGAGCCCTGAATCACACAGCAGACTATCTGTCCCGTTACGTGGAGGAGACGGGCGACTGGATGCTCCCGTACGATGTGTTTACTACCATCCAACAGACATTCGGCCCGCTGAGTGTAGATCTGTTTGCGGCCAGCCACAATACTCGCCTGCCCCGCTACCTGAGCTGGCGTCCAGATCCAGAGGCAGAATCAGTGGATGCCTTCTCCACCCCTCCAGAGCTATGGGAGAATGCTTATGCCTTTCCGCCATTCAGCCTGCTCACCCGGTGTCTTCGCTACATCCGGCAACACGACATTCGACGGGTAATCGTGGTGGCTCCAGCCTGGCAGTCACAGGCTTATTACCCTCAGCTGCTCCGAATGTCCTGCAGTGCTCCGCTACGACTAGTGTCGTCAGACGTTCTGGACCCACAGGGACAAGTCCATCCGCAGGCACAACGCCTACGACTGACCGTATGGAGTATCTCCGGGAAGCAGCCTCGCTGCGAGGCCTTTCGCAGGGAGCTGTCACTCTCTGGCTCTCCTCCTGGCGAACTAGCACCAACGCATCGTATCAGTCAGCATGGCGACAGTGGGTGGGCTGGTGTTGCGAACGACGTGTGGATCCCGTATCGGCGGACCCTACTCAATTAGCCAACTTTCTAGCGACACAGTATGAGGCAGGCAAGCAATACCGTACCCTGAACGTGTACCGTTCGGCGGTGTCATCCACCGTACCGCCACTCCACGATAATGTACCCGTCGGACAATCGCCTAGCGTCGTCCGGGTTATGCGTGGTATCTACAATCAACGACCGCCATTGCCTCGCTATTCACGTACGTGGGACGAGGCCACTGTTCTAGAATACATTCGGTCATTGGGCCCGAATACTGCTTTGACCCTGTCGCACCTGCAAGTCCTGCAAGCTGTGCATGCTGCTCGCACTGGCTAAGGCAGCAAGAGTAAGTGAAATCTGTCACTTGGATATCCGCGCAATGCGCTTCCTGGCAGATGGTGTCGAGTTTGAGCTGACTCACGTCACCAAAACACAACGCTCTGGCGGCCCGCGGAAGTTCTTTGTGCCAGGTCTGCCGGCTGACCCGATCCTGTGCCCAGTGGAATGCATCAAAGCCTATCTAGATGTGACTAAGTCCATCCGCACTAGACCAGCGCATAGTGCTCTCGTTGTGTCCACTCGCCGACCGTTTCAGCCAGTCTCGACCTCAACTGTCGCCAGATGGGTGACAACACTGCTCCAAGCAGCGGGTGTTGAAAGTGACTTCTCAGCCCATTCTACGCGGAGTGCCTCCACTAGCGCTGCACGGCAAGCCGGGGTGTCATTGGCGGATGTGTTGGCGACAGCTGACTGGTCACGGCCCAACACATTCATCCGCCACTATTACCGACCGCACAGCCAAGCTTCTTTTGGCCAAGCCGTCTTGACGGTTAGCACTGGGTGAGGAGTCTTCTACAAGTGCGGACTGTTGTTCCGATTTCTATGCATGGTTTCTCATAGTGATCATGCCTGCTCCCTGATTATTTCACTATCCATGTCGTTGCTTTGCTTGTGTGGAACACAACAGTTGAATTTGTTTCATATTGATTTGAAAAAGTGAATCTGTCCTCAGCGGTTACAACATGCTGTTTCCTTCCAGCTTCTTTCTCTTGACAGAGTGTAGTGTCGACGGCAACATACATTAGCCATTAATTTCATACCTTGCTACTCATGTGAGGTCTTTTCTTTAAACATCACACTGTCACATTCGTAGCCGGAGCCTCCGAAGTCTAATTAGGAATTCCGCTAGGACCTGAAAGGTCTGACGTGGAATTCAGGTTACACTAGGAGGTGAAGGCGGAGAATGTGACAGTGTGTTCCCACCCGCGCCGCCCCTGTCTCATTCTCCGCTGTCAGACGTTGCCTTTTGCTTGTCCATAAATGAGCTCATCAAAGGCCAAAGGAGTGTGGGAAAGGGCGGGAATATCAAGGGACCAAGGTTGGAGTTTGTGTAAATTTTCTCTTTAAATCGCGTGCAAGTTCGGACCACAAGTACACTGTAGCAGCTAGTTGCGAACCTAACCTGTGCCGTGATGCACGGTACTTGTGTGCATCTACTTCATCCCTGAGTACCCCACCAGGTATATGGTGCACAATAGGGCACAGTAAATAATCAGCATGCATCGCAGTTTTCTGCAACATATTCCTGAAGTCACTTTACACCTCAGAAGAATTGCGTTGCTAACTGTTAGTTACTCCCTGGGTCATTATGAATCGAAGAAAACCCGTCATACAATAGGTTCAAGCTAAAGTACCGTATCACCATGGTGATTACCTGGAAATTCGGTGTGTCTTCTGCGTTTTGTTAAGCAAGCAGCAAAGTGCAACAGAAATTACCATGGTGATACAGTAGATGACCGTGTGAAGCGGTGTGCACATGTGAGATGCAGCAAAGGTGAGCCTGTTACTACTGTAAAAGCCATTATTCTAACGAGGCGCATATATAACGATTTCCCAAAATTGACTAGTTTACGTGTACCAAAGGTAACGATTATCACTCATTCTCAACACTCAATAGGACAGTATGTGTATGGATTTGTGTATAACGATTTCTATTTGAACGACAGATTTATCCTCGTTAACTCGTTAGAGTTAGCACTTCAGAGTAAGCACTTTGTTATATATATGGCTTTTGAGTCCATCGAACCTTCGACTAGGCAAACCTGCAAGAAAGCACCACTCCCTGCTCAATAAACAGTGTTTCGGGGAATTCACCCCTCATCAGTTGAGCTTGAGTAGGCTGAGGAAGATTGTGCCTGAAGAGCACTACTTATATAGTGCTCTCCAGGCACAAACATCACCAGGGATACAAACTTACAGATACGCTCCGGTTCCAGCGCGACAAACACCTCGTGAACACCAGATTGCAGCGTGAGTCAGTGTCGCTCCTGGACGGTGAGACATAATGGTATTTAATATCAAAGTTTTTCACAAAACGAAATAATTTCGTTATGGGGTGGGAGGGGGCAGGGTTGACCAATTTCATTTCAGAAAACATTGATACATGTACACGGCCATAGGAGCAGTGACTCAATTGCGACTTTTGCATGTATTGTGTCAACATTGTTTACGTTCTCAGGGGGAGGGGGGTTGGGTCCAAACAAAAATAATTTGTTTGGAGAAAAAAGTTGGACATTCAGGGACGGCCCCTAATATGACATATTAGGTATTGTGTTACTTCCTACACAACACACTTGTTCAGGTGAAAGAAAAGTACTTAGAAGTACATGTATCACCAGTAAATATGCACCGTTCAATAAATCAAAAATTATGAACAATGAGCCCTCTGCAACATGCTTTTTATGCCTGAAAGTTAAAAAGATTTTAAAAAAGCAGATAAATAATCAGGTCAAAAATCAGGTCAAGCAGATAAATACTCAGGTCAAGTTGGCATAATAATAATTATTATGATCGCTGGTCAGAGCGGGGTATGCAGCAACAGTAAGCCAGGGAGAGAGCAGTACTGCCAGCAGGGAGTAGAGGCACAATGAGAAGTATAAAAAGGTTTAAAAGATGAAACTGATGATTGATTAAAAACGTTAAAACAGTGCACATTGCAATCAAGAACACCGGTGATGTTGTCTAGCTCTCAACTTTGGCATCGACAGAAGCCAAGGGGCTGGGGGGGGGGGGAACAGTGGGCACTATTGCGGATGGGGTGCGTGTGTGGTGTGTGAGGGTCATCCGACCACAAGTCTCGGAGCCAGAGTCACACAAACGCAATAGTGAGTAACTAACTTGATAAGAGAGAGAGATAGAGAGAGCGTGTGTGTGTGTGTATGTGTGTTTGTGTGTGGGGGGGGGCAGATAAGATAAAACATTTGGGTGATTCAGCCACAGGGTGAAATGTAACATAGTGAGATGTAGCTTGGAGCGACAGCACCTCAAACAAACACAGTCCGTGTCACTTCTCACGAGATTCACTATCCGCCACGGCCAATCCGGCAAACGGATTGCGGGTGGCCGGAGAGGCTGCGGCCGCACGTGACGCTACCCAACGACAGGAACTATCATCTGCTGACGATGCGGCAGCACTGGAGTTGCTGCTAGCACTAAGCTGTGCCAACAGGTTAAGGCTCTGGCCTCAACTCATCATGGTCCAAGCCCTCCAGTTGGACTGCAACAACGCTCTTTAGTTCGGGATGGCACATCCATTTCGTTAAGTCTTCAGTGTACTTCGGCGGTCGTACGAACAGTGCTATTCTGCCATCTGTCGCCAGGCGCAGAATATGATTCGCGGCACGGTAGGTATCGGGACGGGCGCCCTTTGCGGTATGGAAACCCCTTTCCTCCGCCCACTTCTCGCAGACGTCCCACGCGGACCAGGTGTGGCCGTCACAACGAAGTGAGCTTGAACTAGCGTGGCCGTTGCACGGCGGGTTTGTTGAACTGTCGACGCATGCATCGGATTGTGGAGGAACAGTCGGGCATGTTTCACTTGTTTTCTTGGCCAGTCCCAGTCGGTACAGCAAATTACATCCCAGGCGCGCCGCCAGATAGCCGACGGATGTATACGGCTCACGCACTTGGGAAATTGGGTACATTCCGGACAGGATCTGTAGCTGTTTTTCAACATGTGACGGAAAGGCTAGGCCAGGTGAGTCGCACAGGCGGATGTGCGGTGTGAGGAAGTGCGTCTGAAAGTGCTTCGTGTGGCCGGGTGTGCGCGACGCACTTACAACTTTCTTGCCAATCAGGCTATTGAGAATGGAGGCCTTACCCACGTTGGGATGGCCGACCAGACCTATTGTAATGAAGGACAGCGGTGAGGATGCTGTTGCCGCTGCCGTAGCTTCATTGCCACCGTTGGTACCGTTGCTGGAGTCTGCGGTATGCTTACGACGCCGCTATGACGTACTGTCTCTTCGTGCACTGATGCTGCTGTTATTCCAGCATCGTCGCACACTTCAAACTTTGAGAGTTTATCCGTCCAACCGGACAGCATACTGTGATCGGCCACCACATTGGCCAGGGCGCGGATAAGCTGACAGGCACCTTGTACGCATATCATGCGCCGCTTAGCGCCGCACTGGGCGTGCGACATCAGACCCTTGGCGTCGGAGCGCTGGCTGCTGCTCTGGTTCCCTGGGCGAGCCGTGTAGAGGACGACGTGAAGTTGCGGGAACAGTCCATAGAAGTACTCGCGCCACGCCAGTACCACACTCGCCGGCACCAAGTCTATCTTGTTCAGCACTAGCACGAGCGTTTTGTTCAGTTCATGTACGACATGGCAGTACAGGGATGGTGGGAAGTGCAGGATGGGATGGCGTGCATCGGCGATAATCACTATTACATTCGACATCTCCAGCACACGCCACAGCTGCCGCCAATACTCCAGGTTCCGCTCAAAGTAGCTTAGCGGATGGTTGTGTGTATCAGCCATGAGCTGGTCAATGTACTCATTGAAGTAGCGCTGCTCCTTAGCTTCCAGCTGCTGCTTGCTCAGGCTGTATTGCCAGGTGGGACGAACAGGCATGTCGATGTGCTCCATACATATATATCTTCATAGGACACTTCCAAGTCTTTTTCTGCCAGGGTTTGCAATGGCTGACGCGACTCCCGCTTGCCCTCCTCAATTTCACTGGCACTTTCTTGGGCAAACATCAGTTTGTATCTGTCTTGACGCCTTGTCTCAGCCACGGCACCGCCTTCTTCGAACTTGGGCTCAAATTTATCTACGATCATTGCCCTTTCAGACGTGACCAGTGTTTCTTCATCTTTATCTGAGTCAGATGGCGAGTCTGAGCGTATCTCCAGCTTCTCTTTGGCAGGCTCCTCGTCGTCCTCTCGGAATCGCTGCACATCTCGGTTTCGCTGGAGCTGGGCTCTCTTCTGCTTGCCACTGAACGGTTTTCGACGACTGTGTTGAGGCATTTTCAACAATGTCAGTAAATGCAGATTGCCTGGAAAGCACCACAATCCACCAGAACTGGAGGCGAGAATCCAGAAAGCAAAATTCTTCTTTCACCTTGAACCGACAATATAGCACTCTGTCTCCTGGTTCTAGAGGTCTGCGTTCAGAAACAAAGAGTTATATAACACAACTACCAGATTGAAACGCACTCAATATCGCGATTGAAAACTGAATCAGTATCTAATATTGACTGAGTACGAGGTCAATATAGGAAATAAAAGCCGAGTAAAAGACCGAGGCGAAGCCGAGGTCTTTTACGTGGTTTTTATTTCCTTTCCTGACCAAGTACGAAGTCAATATTAGATTTATCACGACAAATAGTCCGTATTTCAAATTCCAGAACGATCACCTGATGAATCCCGGTTTTATGATTGCACATCCGTTGCACCACCACCTACTCATGCAGTGACAATGCTGCACTTCACATTTCCTGCGTCTTTTGCAGCATACAGGATAGACTCATCACTGTAAAGTCCACTACTTCGTGATTTTTATTTGTAGAATACATGACAGGCGTATTCAGTGTGCCTCGCAGGACTGCGAGATGCTGCAGAAGACCAGGTTCGACCTTTCTAGACCGCCATTCACCGACGGTGGGCTACACGATGCTGGAGGAACTAGATTCCAGTGAAAACCCAAGATTCCTTTGCTCCTGGACGCTCCGACGTGTTGTGATATCTGCCAGGTGCGCAGTAACTAGTATTTTCATCGCTATAGCGAGGACGACGCCGATCGGCAAACTCTCGCTCACAGCCATCACCAGCCTCTCAAAACCATCACTTGGCATCCCCCAGAGGTATAGGAGAAAGCCAAAACAGCTCTCAACAAACAAAAGCTAAGGACGATGGAAAGAGAGCATGTCAAAAAGAAGACGAACAGTATGAAGGTCAAATGGGTTTGAACACTCGTACCACCAACTATACCACTTTCAATAAATCGTGACGCCATTTTGTTTTAACACGCATACATTCCACTGCGCAACCCCTAATTAGCTAAGGCCCCGGTCACACATGCACTTTTTTTGGCGGTTCCGCCAAAGCGTAACTTACGCTTCCGCCGTTGCCTCGGCAACGGCGGAGAGGCAACGGCGGAGGCGTAAGTTACGCTTTGGCGGAAAGTTTGGATTTCGCTACCCCCAAAAAATGCGAGCGGACCCTCCGCTTTCGCGGATCCGCTCTGGCAGAACCTGCATGGTGATGGCTTTGGAGTTTGGTGTGCTACTTCTGCACTGAGTTCTGGTGTTGTTTGGTTGCCGTTTGGTATTCAGTTTTCATATTGTTCTTCTTTGCCAATGAACTGTACGTTCTGGAGATCTCGCGAGCAATACTGCATCGTTATGAGTGGATAGTTGGTGAGGGAATAACTCCGAATCCGTCTCCCAACGAGTCATTGGCCCCGATCACGGACGATCTCCAACTCTCTCCTTCTCTCTCCAAGCAATAGGTCCACCAGAGTATGCAACACTAGGACTGCAACCAGGGAGTAGTAGAGTACTCTGCCACACCCTCACTGCAGCTGCAGGCATCCACGCAGTCGCTGGGTCGATGATGGATCATGGAGGAGGCAACGACACCCTGCTATAAAACTATTTGAATTTGATATTGATGTAAACTAAACTAATATTCAAATACACCCGTGCTGGGCCGCAGTGAATGTGCCCCAAATCCACGAGTGTACTTGACATGAGACATTCAGCAGCCTGTCAGCGATCCACGATAGCTCTACTTGTACAAGCGAAGGTCGCTTCAACTCGGACAAGAAGGAGGCAACGACACCCTGCTATACAGCTATTTGAATTTGATATTGATGTAAACCAAACTAGCAATATTCAAATACACCTGTACTGGGCCGCAGTGAATGCGCCCCAAATCCAGGAGTGTACTTGAGACATTCAGCAGCCTGTCAGCGATCCACGATAGCTCTACTTGTACAAGCGAAGGTCGCTTCAACTCGGACAAGAACATCTAAAATTTCATAGGACGTGCTGAATTGGCATTCTCTCCGCCAAAGCGGAGCGTTGAGGAGCACAGTAGTCTACATGTATGTGTGACCGCTGCATCGTGTGGTCCTCCAAAGCGGCTGCGGTACTTCCGCTTTCCGCCTCCGCAAAAGCGGTGCAAGCTTTTCATGTGTGACCACGGCCTTAGCAGTCAAATATTAATATAAGCAGTCAATATAGCCCTAAGGAGTGACATATGCAGGAATATTTGACTGCTTAGGTGTGACAAAAATCGATGTGAGTCAATACTGAGGGAGTGATAAATTAATGCTTTTAATTGTTGCTTGAGCTTTTATGCTTTTCTCGTGAAGCCTACGCGGCGCCAAGCACAGCGCCACGTTTTTATTTTGCTTGCCCATACAAGACGTCAAGAAGAGGATTCAGCGCAGCGCCACGTGCACTTGTCCACATTGCATTGATCCTAGCCAACGTAGTACGTACACGTACACCATGTACCACGCATGGTACAGTTGGTACCGGTATACCACGTCAGCGCCCTGCACTTATCGCCTACGCGTATTCGAGTGGCGCTGATTTAGAAAAGCGATCCTGTCAGCTTTTCTATTATTGTGTTCACATGGCGCTACCTAACGACACCGCTATTCAGACACGTTGTCTACATAGCTACGTAAGTTTCTACGTAAGATGCTCGGTACCTGGCCCTGGACCAGGGAGCTACTCCATGGCTCCTACCATCGTGCATCGCGCGGCAGGCTGGCCGCATGCGTGTGTATTGCAGACTTTCTGTTGTTGCCTTTTCGGATGTGCATGCACGAGGAACTTCCTTCTTTGGAACTGCTTCTTGCATGAGCTGTTTCGGATATTTCGTCTCCTGGCCTGGCTTATTTCGTTTCGGCGCTGCTGCGACCTCCTTTCGCGGAATATTACTCAATGACAGGTGAGTTGACCAGTTCCCTTTGATTCATTTGCTTGTGTTGACTCTTTCATTCACGAAAAGTGTGCTGATTTTGGGCGGAATGCAATTAATAATGGAAAAGCTGACAGGATCTCTTTTCTAAATTTAGCTTTTCCGCTGCCGAGGCCTCCTTTTACGGAATACTCGATGACAGATTATCTCTGAGTTGACCGGTTTCCTTCGATTCATTTGCTTATTATGCTCACCCTTTTGATTTGCGAGTACCGCCGAGATTGCACTGCCCCACATACAGTTTCGTGCCGCCAAAGCAAGAATTACGATCTGCAATCTGTTTGTAGTACCTGCAAGAGTGTGGAGTGCATGTATCGTACTTTCTCTGTTGCTGTTTCAGTTACCGTCATGTTGCTAAAAAAAGGTTCAGTAGAGATGTTCTGCGAAACAAAAATTTGAACGAAGCTTCGCGACAGTCCTTGCGAAAGTGTGTATGAATTTTTGCACGAACTTTGCGTTCTGCACATTTTCGTAGTTGGCGCTGGCCAAGTGCACGTACGCCATGACCTGATCTCACGAAATTTCCTACGACAGTTCATTTCGCGTTCCCTGCAAGTTTCGCGTCCAAAGTTGCGAAACTTCGTGCGAAAGTTTGTACGCATTTTCCTTTTGCAGAACCTCTCTAGTGACTCATTTGTTTCATACCAGACGAGTCAATGAGTCGGTGTGGCTTAGAATCTTTCGCTGTAGAAGAAATCTATTCGTATTTCTATTGGAGAAATAATTGTATTCACTGGTTATAAAATAGGTTAAGACAAACTAACAGAATAATTAATACCATCGGTCCCTTGGTGTTCGTCCTAAAGAGGTTCGACTGGATATCACTCATACTCACCAAAAGATGTGTAAGATTATATATTATTATTGTGGAGTGCCTTGTTTATCTCTCAGTACCTCCAACCATAGCCTTGCCCCTTTTATCCTCAGGATCAGTGTAATTGTTGGAACGAGGTGTCGGACTCAGGAATGTATTTGTTTACATTTTAATACATGTTTATTGTTCCTCCTTTGCTGTGTTGTTTTAGAAAATCGTGGACTAACAGTTTGAAGTCATTGAACTACTTCCAAAAGTTGTATCAACATCAACAGGATTACCATTTCAGTGCAATATGATGCAGGATGACCTTATCACGATAACACATGATTATAAACCATTATAAACACAGAATCAACAAAAACATCTGCGACACGCACCTGGCTTCATTTCTCAAATAAATCTGATCGAGGGTGGGGAGATCTGAAATATCTGAAAGGCAAGACAATTTTATGACAGAAGAGAGGTTCTGCTACATGTAGAAATCACGTAGAGAGCAGGTGTCTGGGTTAGAGTCTACGGCTTCGCGTGTCTTGGCTTCAGATTTCTACGCGGAGATGAGGTTCTCTACATTGTGGCACGCGCAGAGAAAATGCGTACGGATTTGCTGGGTATCGATCAACTGAATGCAGAAAACCGCCAAATATGGAAGGGGAAATTCCCAGTACACATTCCACGTGACTTCTCTAGGTGAAACGTAGAGCAGAACAGCATTTCTTCACGTTACGGGAACGCGAAAAAAGTTCGAGTGATTCTTTGCGTCGTGTTCCCAAAACGTAGAGCAGAACCTCCCTAGAGTCATGATTGATTTTCCCCATTTCTCTCCTCATCAATCCCTACTTCTCTTTGTACATACATCTACATCTACTGTTCTTTCAATCAAATGAACCCCTCGATAGGCACATTGCCTTTGGGTCATTTCATAATAATAATAATAATAATAATAATAAAATTCTGCAACAGCAAGCTGCAACATGCACAGAATGACCTCCGTATAAAAAAGTATCACGACCACCAGACCACTACTCACATGTCATGTTTCCCCGCAGAAGAACATGCAATTGCATTATGCTAGTGCCATTTTCTGCAAGAAAAGGCTTGCACATCAATGCGTATAATACGGTATTGATATGATGTGAAGGCCATCGTTTACATATTGATATACATGTAGGGCATTCCATTGATAGGTGACAGAAAAAAACAAAAGAAATTATAGCAA